GGATGGAGAGTGGGGGAAAGGGCCGGTAAATATGTAATTTGTTAGCCCCTTTCATGACGGGAGTGACTTTGGATGGGAGGCCCATGGAATACAGCCCCCTTTTGAGGGTTGGGGAGACCCCTGTGTCAGCTCCCCATAGATCTAGTATGTGTAAGTCACCCTGTGCCTGTTAGGGGTACAGGGTGAAATGTTCTAATATTGGTGTGGAGGTTGTTCATTGCCATGCGGTTGCATCCCATTGTTCTATTGTATTTCTTGCTTGGGAGCAAACTATTATGGGATGTAATGTTTCTGGCAGCCCTTCCCCCTGATGGGACGGCCTGCTGATGTGTTTCCTGTTACTGGGTGTATTTCCCCGCCCTGTGTATATATCTTGTATCTATGTTAAAATAAAGCAGTCTATTTTTCTGTCTGCTCTTCTGGTGCTGCCTCGTCTTGTATGGCCAGCGGTGGGGTCCGTGGATCTGTGTTCGGACAGGGAAGCGGGAGTCTAACAGAAATACCCTAGTGCAGTCGGGGTCCGGTTCCGTTAAACCTTTCTTTTCTGAATTGGATACAGTGAGCTTCTGTGTCCATTGATAACTGAGCATTGTAAACTATGCCTGTCTCTTGCTTTTTCATCTTCAGTGTAGCTGAGGCTACAGCGAAAAGAACTGAAGAATCTGTGTCCTCAATTCCTTTCTCTGTCTCAAAGGTGAGATGTCAGGGGCCTTTAGACCTTGAAGATTCCCCCCCCCCCTCCCCCAACAGCATTGTAAAAAAAAAAAATTGTACAAAATCATTTAAAAAAGTACATTGTAAAAAACATTTTAAAAAAATTGGAAAACATTTCATACATTTTCCCTATCCTTAACAACTTGTTTCCATAGATCAAAAGTAGGCAGGGTGGTGTATTTTTTATTGTTTACTGTGGTGACAATAATCAGCTAAAATGTATTTATAACACTGTGAATAATATAGATCTGCAACAGACAATCAAAACCGGTTCATAAGAATGCTTTATTTCTACAGGTATATTAAACAAAGGAAAACCAATTCAGATGAAAAAGTACATTCAATTCCCACAGATTAGAAAATATACAATTTACAGTGTTGGATAGGACCTTGTGCGTCATGACATATATATATATATAATATATATATAAAGCACCAATGTCAATTAATTTTCTACAATTTTCAAAATTTTTACATGTGCAAACTAGAAATATGGCAAACCTATGGATAATTTGATATGCCTTATAAATAATCAAGCAGGTGTATTACATAGGGTAGTGTAAATATCAGTGATTATGTACTAAGTGCATTAACCACTGACAGTCTACTGTAGTTAGATGAGAAAAACATGAACTCTGATTGCTGTGGATGACTGGGTTCAGCACATATTGAACTTTACGCTGCTATAGGGTTGTATGTTAACAGAAAGGAATTGTCACAGTTCTTACTTTGAGAAAGAGAATTGTGGCAGTTGATATAGCCTATTCATGTTTTTTTTGGAGGAGGTTTCAGGATGTGTTAGATTAGATAAATTCATAAAAAACAATTCATCATTTTAATTAGATACCATGTGATCCTGTTACATTTTCTTGATGTACTGTATTTCAGCACTTTTTGTTTATGTGCACCCGTCAACATTACCTGTTGAGTGCAAGGCCAAACCTGAGAATGGTTTTCATGTCAATGCTGTCTAGTCCACAGCACCACTACCTTCCCTGTAGACATTCTGTAAACACTAACACTGTCAAATAGAATATAGGGATTTAACTAAGAGTAAGTTCTGTAATTAGTTTTGAATTAGACAGCAACAGTACCCACCATTCTTAGCTATGCATCAACATAAAATACATAAATAATATTTTTTTTCTATATAGTCTAGTACATATTCCTTTATCAAATCTAACGCCAATATACATACATACACACATTTGCAGCTTATCAGTTTGTCTGGCCTGATGCAGATATAGACATTTAAAGCTAAAAAAGACTGTCTGATCAATACTTGAGATGACCCCAACTAGATATTATGGTTTAGGATTGCTGTGGGAGGACTGTGACTGCTTATGCTTACATGGTGTTCATATTAGATTTTTGTGTCATGCCTTTCAACATGAAAGATCATAATAAGATATGTATACATATTGACAACCTAAATCCCCCCCCCATTCAAATTTTGTTCAGTCAGACCCAAATTGCCCTATATGACTATGCATGAACACCTTTATAATTATTATGAAGTCATTTAAGTTCTTCTCAGAATTATATTGTCAAACCTTTTTAACGTATTTGTCTTGGAGTACAAACCATATAGTTATCAATGATCCCCTGGTTAATGCTGCTATACAATGCAATGCAATATACACATTTCATCCATATAAAAGATATATAATGTAAGTGCTTTAGTTCTTGACAGAATTTTTTTAAATAAATATAATAAAATATCAATCTATCCAAAATAGTTTTATGTATGGGATAGCATAAGTGTTTACTATTACTTACAGGGGAGCTGAACTTTGGGAGCTATGCCCAAAAGGTCCAGCCAATGGCAAGCCTAATTATCCGCTATGCCTGTGGTCCTCCTGCAGAAGATCTTTCTCCTAATACTACTGGCCATACACTCTTTAAAGGCTAACTCCAGCTTTAGCAAGATGTTGCATGTTACACCCATATTTAGGGTGCAACATGTTGCTAAGCAATCCCCCTCCCCCACAATAATTGGGGGTGCTTTGAAGCTCCTGTGAAAAAAAAATAATAAATGCACATTGTTTACTGAAAAATGTGCATTTTTAAAAAGTGAATTTAGCGTTTAAACAGCATGGATGGAAGAATCTCCTGCTATTGAATTCTGACAGCTGACACGGCTGTCTGAATACCCAAACAGTGTCTGCAACTGATTGGCTTGGCTGATTGCCCAACAATTTTCCATGTGGATCATACGATTTTGAGATTGAAGGATGTTGGCAGGACAGAGACAAGGGGGCACAGTGGTATCATGTGAGGCACGGGGGTGCCGCCTGGACAGTTTCTACCACTGAAGGCTGACAGGAGTAGTGAAAGCAGCATCACTACTCCTGTCAGCTTAGCTCTGGTAGAGACACGTCAAATCTAGAGAAGAGAACAGGAGGAGGTGCAGGCTGTGCTCTCTCTCTCTCTCCCCCTGCAGGTCCTTCTTCCTGCCACTGTTGTGTTTCTGGATGGGGAATGTCAGATCAGAACCATGCAGGGTTTGCTTACCCAGTCCTATCTCCTCTCAGCATAGAATGTGGGCAGGTGGTGGGTAAGCGAACGCAGTCAAAAGTGTTAAAAATCATCAGTCAGCTTCCCCCAGGCTCCTCTACAAATCTGAGCAGCCTGGGAGGAAGGGCATCCCACAGCCATGTTGTATCTAAGGTATGTGGGTTTGAAGGACTGGAGAATTGCACTGGGGACAGGTGGCAGAGTAAAAAATATTTGTGCTGGGTCTGAGAGTATTTGTGCTAGGAGGGGGAGGGGAGAAGAGGATTAGTTCTAGCGGGAGGGGTTTGGGTGGTGAATATGTGCTATGGGGGGGGGGGGGGGTTTGTGTAGGAACAAGGGATGGGGGGGATTTCCTGCTAAAAGAGGGAATTGGGGAGAGGGGATCAGGGGGTGGCTGGGAGTAAGATTTGTTCTAGCAGGGTAAATTGGGGGAGATGTGTGTTAGGAGGGGGGATGGGAAGAATAGGATTTGTACTAGGAGGAAGAAATGTTTGTTTGGGTAGAATTTTGGCTTGCTAAGGGACTTTATTCTTAGGGGGTAAGCGTGCAGATTAGTGATCAACTTTATTTTGGGGGGAGAGGATTTTTCCTGATACATAATGCTACATCTTGGGGGGGCACAGTTTGGCATCTTCACCCAGGGCGCAAGATGACATTTTCCCAGCACTGGATGTTGTGCAGTGTGGTGCTGGAAAAGACCAAGGGTTGAATTTTGCCTGCTTCATAGGGAACCGACTGAAATTTGCTCCATGTATGGCCAGCATTAACATGGCTTGTTACACACTGTGTCTCTTTGCAGAAGTGGTCATTGGGGTAGAGAGTGTGAGAGCCTCCAGCAGGAAGAACAGTAAGCAGCACAACATTGGAATAGTATCTCAAATCTATTAATACTAGTGGTCAGAGCTAGAAGTCTCACAAGTCGGCAGAGATACAGCAATGAGACTGTAGAGACAGGAGTGGCTAGGTACCCTCACATACCATTGATATTTTTTAAGACAAAGGGTAACTTTTTAGGGTACTGCTTAGGCACAATTAATATTTCTAAAAATTCTCTAACATAGCAAATCCTAATTTTTTAGTTCAGTTGCACGTCAAAGAATTATGTTAAGTAACGTGATCATTCTGAGTCAATATCGAGATCTAAAAGCAAGGAAAAAATCTATACCTTAAGTAAATTCAGACTAGTTGTTTTTTAACATACATATGTATTCACAAAATTTCATATTACCACTGATGTGACATGAACTGTCTATGCATCAAAATACCTTGTTACACAATGTTTTTTTGGGCTTCTGCTGTGGCTCTTTACAGATTTAGTTTTTGTAATTTCTACTATTGATTTAATTGGAACGAATTATTATATTTTTGCATACATATAGCAGTATGTATTTTTACTAAGACTAAGTAAAATGACAGCAAATCCACTAAATTACTGTATGAAGAAATGTGGTGGAATGAAAATATTAGAAATAAACCATAGAATTCTGACATGTAAAACTATGACTCTGCATCTCAAAGACAAACAGTAAATCTGCTCTGCAAAAAGAGACAAACGAAAGAGCAAAAAACATTCCTGTTATCCGTTGCTCTTATTACAGTTGTTCAAGTAAAGATTAGTAATTAAAAAAATAACTAAAACTCAATTCATTTTCATTGGATAAAAAGGTAAAACACTATAAAATGTTTACAGGCTCTTAATACTCTCAAAAAGCTGTGTGATGAATGGCTTTCTTGCTACATGATAGAAAACAGTGATAGGCTACTGGACATTAGTAAATTATATCATTATGATTCATTTTGATACTGTCACTGTCCAGTTCCCTGAGAAGTTCTTCAAAGTCTGTAATATACCACTTGGCCTTTTCCTTGACTTGTTGCCTGATCACATTGCCTCCAAATCCAATGAAACCATCCTAATATGAAAAAAGAAAACATCAATTTATAATGCCTGGTACATCCATTCTGAACATACCAAATTAATGTCATGCACATTGAGTACAAGGAGGTATTTTCAATGCAATAGAACAAATCCTGGTTGCCAGGTTACCATGGCAACAGAATAATTACCCTAGTGTTCGGGACATTCTTCCCCTAGGTTTTACCCACTTAGACCTCCTTCTGGCCATGTAACCTTCCTCCCATGCTAGAAGTAACTCATCCAGCCTTCCAAAATTTTTAGCCTACTGTTGTAGGTAATTTAACTGAACTATATATTTAGGATTCCTCCACAATGTATGACCATTCCCTGATGCCTCACCACTCAACCAGTTGCACCATTCCAAGGGAAGGGGGGAGGGGATAGGGGTGATTGGGGCACTGTGTGGGTATGCTTTACAACAACACAGAGTTTTGCATTGAAGTAGAAATAAAAAAAACTGAGCCCCAGGAACACTTTTCAATAATGTGCAAGATTGCACATTATGGCAGACTTCTGAAACATAGTAATACCCTCCAGCGCTATAATATCAGTGCTCTCCTCTGTTGCTGACCCTTGAATGGCGGGGCCCAGATGACGTAACTCTCACACCAGAGTTACATTAACCAGACACAGAGTCATACCATTATTGCAGTGGTGGGCTGTCAGGGCCAGCTAGGCCTTCTCTGCTGACCTAAAAACTGCCTAAACTATCAGAATCGCTGACTTACATTTTAGCATGTTTTTTTCCATGAATGTATTTTTCCCAATATATTCTATTCTGTTCATTTCATTGCTTTATTCTTGGTTTTTTCCTGCTTCCAGTAGTGTATGTTTTTGCTAGAGATTTTATCCATTCATATTTCAGATAGGATAGCCATCATGTGTTGCCAGGATCAAAGAAATCTGCCTTGATGCCTTCAGAATCAACACTGCAGGCGCCTCTAGCTTACAGTAAATGGCAATGAACTTGTAGCTTTAAACCTCTGCTTCTGTTAAGCGCACATTCTCAGCCCTAGAGCGAATTAAAACTTAAGGCAGAAATATGACTGAACAAACTCGACATTCAGCATTAGCCCCCATCACAATAGAAAAGAATGTATTGTTGGAACTGAACGCACAGATAACCTGTACAACAAAGGAATTGAACTCCTCTTGAGGAAAGAAAGGAGGATGGATTGTGTGTAAAATAAGTAGTTTTGGTGAGTATAATGCATTTTATTTACAATTTTTCATAAAGTCAATGCTGGTTAATCCAGGCCCCGCTTTTTCCCCATGTCCCCAATTTTGCTGTGCTTAATTTTTAAGGTTCCAGCCAAAAACTGCTGGCTAATTCAGGTAGGACATTACTGGATGTGAAATGCATGGCCTGCCACTGCAAGAATGTACACCTAGCTGCACTTTCAGAGCTCACGGTGCACATGTGTTTGTTACTGGAATTTCCTTCCTATGCTTCTGATTTAAAAAGCAGTACTGCTGATCACCATTAACCCATGATACATGTAAAAGCATTCCTGCATTAAAGCCAATGTATTCCTGTCTCCAGGCTGTCTGTCATCCCTATAAAGACATTATCATTATTAATAATAATTAAAGTAATAATGATCCATGAATTCAACTCCTACCAATAATTTAAAATTTATTGGTAGATGCTTTTCTTAGCTAGCATATTTTTACAATAATATATACTGTAACATGAGTTAAACATTTTTTATACTTATGTTAAAACACCAGACTTACAGCAGGGGGACATGCTTCCATATCTGTAGCACCATCTCCAATCATAACTACATTGCGAAAGCCATACTTTTCCTTTAGAAGACCAATGACTTTTCCTTTACCACCAGATTCTGCAGTAAGCTGTGTTTCATCAAACCCAGCATAGTCACCTTAAAAACAAAAAACCAAAAAAAAAAAACCAAAAAAAAAAAAAAACACACAAAAGCCAGTTAAACATTAGCATTAAATTGCAACAGAACAGATTAAAATTGTTTTTTCTTATTGAAAATGTTTTATTGCAGTTTTCCAGGAAATTAAAGCCTAGTATACACAATCAGAAAATTGTACAAAAAAAAAAAACATTTTCGAAGTGATCATGTAATAATCTGATCATTAGTACACAGCTTTTGTCTGCAATTATTCGAAGGGACAAAGTACTAAAATGTTTCTCATACAATACCGGATCGTAAGTTTTTGCCTGAAAATATAATACATTACATCACTTTCTAATTTTTTTTTTCTGTCATACAAGAATTTTAGTAACCTCTTTTCTTTCGATATGAGAGTAGCATGCAAAAACAAAACAAGAAAAAAAAAAAAATGGACGATCGTTCGTTTGATGTTCTCGTCGGGGCTTAAGACAAAGTATTTGGAGTCATATGCAATCACTGACATGATCTCCACACAGGGAGTGGCGCTTAGTGCAATCTAAGAAGATATAATTATAGATCCTACAAGGGCAATACAAGTTTAGGAGACTGAATATAATAGGCTCCAAAAATGGGAGAGAGAAGAAAGAGGGAGAGGAGATAAAAAAAAAAAAAAAAAAGGAGGGGGGTGAGGGAAGGGAAAGGGTCAGGATCTTGGTAGGGTAAGAAGGGGGGACCCAACCACCATACAATATACAGTCATGGCCGAAATTGTTGGCACCCTTGATATTTCTCCAGGAAATCATGTATTTCTCACGAAACGTATTGCATTAACACATGTTTTGCTATACACATGTTTATTCCCTTTGTGTGTATTGGGACAAAACAAAAAAAGGGAGGAAAGAAAGCAAATTCGACATAATGTCACACAAACCTCCAAAAATGGGCTGGACAAAAGTATTGGCACCCTTTCACAACTGCGGATAAATAAGAATGTTACAAGCATGTGATGCTCCTGTAAACTCACCTGGGGCAAGTAACAGGTGTGGGCAATATAGAAATCACACCTGAAAGCAGATAAAAAGGAGAGACGTTCACTTAACCTTTGCATTGTGTGTCTGTCTGTGCCACACTAAGCATGGACAACAGAAAGAGGAGACGAGAACTGTCTGAGGACCTGAGAACCAAAATTGTGGCAAAATATCAACAATCTCAAGGTTACAAGTCCATCTCCAGAGAACTAGATTTGCCTTTGTCCACAGTGCGCAACATTATCAAGAAGTTTGCAACCCATGGCACTGTAGCTAATCTCCCTGGTCGTGGACGGATGAGGAAAATTGATGAAAGATTGCAACGCAGAATAGTCCGGATGGTGGATAAGCAGCCCCAAACATGTTCCAAAGACATTCAAGCTGTCCTGCAGGCTCAGGGAGCATCAGTGTCAGCGCGAACTATCCGTCGACATTTAAATGAAATGAAACGCTATGGCAGGAGACCCAGGAGGACCCCACTGCTGACACAGAGACATAAAAAAGCAAGACTACAGTTTGCCAAAATGTACTTGAGTAAGCCAAAAGCCTTCTGGGAAAACGTCTTGTGGACAGATGAGACCAAGATAGAGCTTTTCGGTAAAGCACATCATTCTACTGTTTACCGAAAACGGAATGAGGCCTACAAAGAACAAAACACAGTACCTACGGTAAAATATGGTGGAGGTTCAATGATTTTGGGGTTGTTTTGCTGCCTCTGGCACTGGGTGCCTTGACTGTGTGCAAGGCATCATGAAATCTGAGGATTACCAAAGGATTTTGGGTCGCACTGTAGGGCCCAGTGTCAGAAAGCTGGGTTTGCGTCCAAGATCCTGGGTCTTCCAGCAGGACAATGACCCCAAACATACGTCAAAAAGCACTCAGAAATGGATGGCAAAGAAGCGCTGGAGAGTTCTGAAGTGGCCAGCAATGAGCCCAGATCTAAATCCCATTGAACACCTGTGGAGAGATCTTAAAATTGCTGTTGGGAAAAGGTGTCCTTCCAATAAGAGAGACCTGGAGCTGTTTGCAAAGGAAGAGTGGTCCAAAATTCCGGGTGAGAGGTGTCAGAAGCTTATTGATGGTTATAGGAAGCGACTGATTTCAATTATGTTTTCCAAAGGGTGTGCAACCAAATATTAAGTTAAGGGTGCCAATACTTTTGTCCAGCCCATTTTTGGGGTTTTGTGTGACATTATGTCATATTTGCTTTTCTGCCTCTGTTTTATATTTGTTCCAATACATACAAAGGGAATAAACATGTGTATAGCAAAACATGTGTTAATGCAATACCTTTTTTGTGTGAAATACTTGATTTTCAGGAAAAATATCAAGGGTGCCAACAATTTCGGCCATGACTGTATAACGGTAGAGTGGTTTGAATTGTGTTTTTATTTTTTATTGCTGTTTACAAAAATTAGCAAATTAAATGTTTAACACATTGTATATGCAGTGAACTACTAAAAACTATAAAGCTTTGTTCCGCTGTTAACAAATGTATTCCATATTTAGAGCAAACAGCACATATTGACTACTGAGGCTACAATTTCAATTATATTTTTGTCAGTTCATCAAAAGTCAGGTTACATGATTTTTACCAAAAAAACAAAATAAAACCAAAAAAAGAACAAAACACACACAGACAATTATATATATATTGTGTTTTTTTTTTTTTTTGTAAAATCAAGTAACCCGACTTTTAATAAACTGATATATGTACATATCTACAACTCATGAAACATTAGACTTGTGGTCATTGGGAAGAATTACCCTTTTACAGATAGCTTAAAAGATCAAGGGTTTATCTGAGAAGCAGAAATTGTTCATTGCTCAAGGAACCCCTAGCAACCTCTGGAGGAACCCTAGGGTTCCATGGAACCCTGGTTGAAAAACCCTGGTCTATGTTGTACTTGTAACATAGTTCATTATTGTGTTGATGGTCTTGGTATCACAAGGATAATGAGCAGAAATCTCCTAATGGATCACAAGTAGAATAAAATCCCAACAGATATTCAAACCCTTTCCATACTGTACTGAAAATGAAAAAAATCATTTTGGCTGGATTTATATTTAATCACAAAACAGGTTACAAGCACTGACAGAGTTTCATCAATACACACCTTTTATTCAGCTACCTAATGTTGCTCATAACTTTTAAACCGCATTTTCAATGTTTGTGATAGCTTTTACTGTTTCTTCATATAAAATGAGATTAAAAACAAATTCAGCATGGGTCAGGTGATTTCAGCTGAAAGAGGTAATTCTAAATCCCAAATAGATTTTTAAGGCCAATAAAAAAAGACACTAAACATGTTAAAATGTTTTTTTTGGTATATAAAATGTGAGGTGCAAGACTAACCATTGAAGTAGAACTTGAGTCTGTTGGCATAAACATTACTCATAGGGATGTCCATCTCTGCAGCTACATGCTCCACAATGCTCTGAAATCCTCCTGATATCAGGAAGACCTGTACGTTTCTTTCATGCAGGCGGTGAACCAGATTCCTTATAAAGGAAGAAGCACAGGTATACGTTTACAGAAAATAGCACAGGGCTTAAGTAATCCATTGTACAAAACAAGGTTTTAGTGACTAGGATCAGTATATGAAAATTGGAGCAAAAGGGAATTGTTACCTATAGAAACAACCCAGATTGTATTGTCTATATTTCTTACAGAATACAAATATGAAACCCATCAATTGTTATAGGCAGCAGCACCTCCACTGCCTATATTCCAGTTTCCCTTCCATCACTTTGTAGAGTTATATAGTGTATCTGTTAAAGTAAACCCATACTGATTAGAATATGTAAGGTGCCTTGCTGACTTCTGAAAACTATTTGCCTGCCATTGCCTATGTTGCGATCTTGTGGCTTCCATTCACAAAGCTGATGGTAGGTATGCATATTTTTACATTGGTCAAGCTTGGGCCAATGTAAGCAAGCATGTGTCACACCTGAAAGATCCTTGTGGAATTGAGAAATCATAGTAGTAGACACTACTATTACAGTGCTTGCCACTAGCTTCCAGATCCCTAGCTGGGTGGCTGTCCTGCTGCATAATTTACACAGGAGGTCACCTGTCTACACCTCATCCAATCAGAGAACGCTTTGTATTCATTGACAAAGTGCAAAAAGTTCTCTACATGGTTCCTGTACTGAGCAAGTGAACTCCTATGTTCTCTATGCAGCAGCCACTCAGCATGGACCCAGAAACTAATAGCAATCTCTGTAGTAGTGATGCCTAGTTTCAGATTTTCAGCTTCCAGGAATTGGCCAGATATGGAACATACCCATGTTGGTTCAAGCTGAAACAATGTAACTATGCATAAATATCCATACCCGGAATACAGATTTAAAGCGGTTGTAAAGGCTTAAGGTTTTTTACCTTCAAGCATTCTATGCATGAAGATACAAAAACCTTCTGTGTGCAGCAGTGCCACCTCAATACTTACTGAGCCCCATTGAGATCCAGCGATGTGCATTACAGCCTCGGTTGTCCCGGGTCTCCCCCCTTGGCCGAGACAGAAAGTGGGAGCCATTGGCTCCCGCTGCTGTCAATCACAGCCAGTAAGCCAATGAGGAGAGAGGAGGGGGGGGGGGCCAAGTCGCGGCTCAGTGTGTGAATGGACACATGAAGCAGCGGGTGCACCATAGCAAGCTGCTTGCTATGTGTGCACCCGACAGGAGGAGTCAGGAGAGCCTGCGGGGGACCAGAGAAGAGGAGGATCCGGGCTCCTCTGTTCAAAGCTACCACATAGAGTAGGTAACAGCCAGAACAATTAAAGTCTGATTGCAGCCTAGATCTATCTAAACTTAAAACTGCTCCCACCCCCTTCCAACTCCTATACTAACTACCCTGTAGAAGGGAGATGCTTATATTTATTCTGAGGGTACTCAAGCCCAGTCACAAGATCTCCCCAGCGGTTGGCTTCAGGGGAGAGGACAGAGCACAGACAATGGATGGAATGCCTGGGTGGTGACATCATCCATAGGCTTACTATGGAGCATCCATTGTCGGCTATCCCTCCTCTATTCTGAATCCGGCACTGGAACCCGAGGTGACCGGGCCGAAGCACCCTGAGAATAGGTAAGTAAAAGCATCTTCCTTCTACAGGGTAATTTGTATAGGAATTAGGAGGGGGGTGGGAGGCATTTTTACCTTAGTTAGTCTAGGATGGACTTCCAGTTTCAAGTCCATCTAGCCCAAAATGTTTTTGTTTAGTGTTGGAGAGAGAACAGAGTGGTAAACCACTGTAAGTTTTTTTTGTCTGCATCTCCTTGGGAGTTTTCCTTTCTCTTCCTGTCCTGGGGACAAAACGGGATGTGAGAGAAAAAAAAAAAAAAAAAATCACTCTACAGTAATTCCTTCCACCTGCTGTTCTGGTGACAACTGTAAAATTTTGGCTCTGTCATTGCATTTTGTTTCAGAAATGATGGTCACTATGACAAATATAGAGAATTAATCTACCATATGGGACCACAGACAGCAATAAAAACCTGAAATAAAAACCTGAAAGCTGTTCTGAACCTTCCTCACTCTAGTCTAAACTAAGAACAAATCTGAAAGTTTTGGCTGGAGACAGAGATGAAGAACAGAAATATTTTTAAAAATATTTGCCTTTAATATTACTTTAACCCCTTATTGCCAGTGCCGCCCAGCCCTTTAAGGGGTTTCTGACTTCAGGAGGCGGGGCAAGGTTTAGGATCATGTGACTGTCACATGATCAGAAAGCTGCTGATCGCAAGTAGCGATCAGGAGCTTCCCGTGAGGTTCCGGTAACTCTCGGCACGTTTTTTTACATCAGGGACACATATGTGGCCTCTCAGCGTCAAGGCCCAGCCTCCGAGAGGCTACATCTTTGAATATCGTTGGCGCCAAGGAGTTAGTAAAAGAATTCCAGCCAAAACGATTATTTTTATATCTTTTGGTAATGTGGGGAATAATTTTATAAACAGGTTTTTATTGTTGTCTGTGTCCCTTTTGGGAAGATTCATTCCCACTTTCAGCTTTCACCAAAACTGGAAATGAAGTGAAAAGTGAAAGTGGGGATATCTTTGTCAGTGACAACTGTCAAATTTGGGATTTCCCCCACCTTGGATAGATTTCAGTTCCAATTTTTTCTTGGAAAAGGCAAGTATGGGAGTTGACATGTAGACAAAAAAAAACAGAGGGTGCTTCTAGTCATTCCCCACTCTGTCAAAAATAAAAGATGTGCACAGGATATAACCTTCATACCAACTCATGGGTTAATATGTAAGCCAAAAAAATTAGAGACAAATAAACAGCAAACCTCCAAACTTTGGAGATGAAACCCTAAATGCAAATATTAGGCAAATAAACTATAATGTCATGGGGAGGAATTCCGCTAATATCTGCCACGTAAGTTCGGTCCATTTTATCAGTTCTGCACTTTCTCTGTGGCTTTTGGACTCTATTACTCTCTATGGTATTTGTACCGACCTTTGTACAAAAAAAATAAACTCACTTTATTCCCTCAGTCAGTCTTGGAGGATGTTCGGTAATCAAAGCTTGCACTTGTTCCCTTGATGGACGAATTAAAGCAAGTCTTTCAGTTAGAGCAGCTTTAAATGTAAGCGATCCTCCCATTGCTTTGCGAGTCCTTCAGAATCAAAATAATAAATGGTGATAGATGGATAGATAGACAGACAGACAGACAATGGCCCATTCACACCCGTGTGTTTTTAGCACCCACATTTTGACCCAAGTTAGGTGTCCTTTTATGACACAGAGAATAGCTGCGATTCAACAGATCTCAGCTATTCTCTGGTCATTCACAGTTTATGACACTCAGGAGATCATGTCAGCCCTTCTCTGGAGATCTGTGTTCTCCCTCCAGATTCTCCAGCCCAGAGCTGGAGAATCAGAGGGACCGAAAACTAAGCAGAGATAGTTTACCTCTGTTTAGTAAACTGATCTTTTACTATAATCTCGAGAGATTATAGTAAAATGAGCCGTTTTTCAGAGTTTGTAGACCGTTTTCCAGCGTTTGGAGACCGTTCTCCCTTTGTTCGGAGAACTGCTTCATAAACTGCATTCACAGGAGAACTGTGCTCTCCGAGAATGCCGGAGAACTGAGCAGCGATCTATTACCGCTGGTTCATAAATGGACACCTTAGTGCATGTGCACAGGTTTGCCATTATTTTCAGTAGTGCTAATTCACACCTGTGCAATGGCTGAAAACATTTCATGTACACTTTATGATGTGATGGCATGTGTTAATGGGCCTATTGATAGGAATGACAGCACATGTCAGTTCATGAGAACACAATTTCCCATAGCAATACAAAAAGACACAAGGTAAGAGCGGATTCACACAGGTGCGGTGCAGATTGAAGCTCAGGTTTCACTGCTAATTGACACAGTAGTTGTTCAGCGGTTCAGGTCAGGTTTACATCAGGTTCAGGACAAGATTAGGTCAGGATTTTATCCTATTCACACATGTGCGGTTTAGAAACTGTTCCCACAGAAGTCAATAGCCTGCAATCCGCACCTGAACTGTACTGCACTGCTCAGAAATCACAAGTTACTCTTTCAATCCACACTGCCAGTGCACTGGATATATGTGAACAGGCAGAATAGGAAGCAATGTTATTTCAAATGCCAGGCAGATTGAATGCGGTTCAAACCACATCCAATCTGCATATATATGTGAACCAGCATGCATAGGTGCGAAGCCAGCCTTTACATACACAGTATCTACTGATAAACGTGATTCAATTTACCAAGTGTATAAAATGCAACTATCTAGTTAATTTTTTCTTTCTATATCTATAAACTAATCCATATAATTAGTCTACTGTCTTGAACTGCGACCAAACTAGTTTCTGCAGGTTTCCTTATAATTATCCCAGTGCATAGCCATATTCTTGTAGACACCTTATATTGTAAAACCTATATATCACTCACCTTGTTCTTGCTGATTTTTTTTGTCTAATAGGCTGTTATGGACAATGTCAGTAATTTAAGGTGGTAACATGACAAGAGTCATGAGTGTCAATTGTGCACAGTGCAGAATTATACCCTTCATGTGTAAAACTGCGAATAATTCAAATTGCATGGCATTTGCTAAAGGTCACAATAAAAAAAAAATACTTTTTTTGCCTTGTGGACCAGTGTGTAACTGGATACTAAACCTACATGTGTAATATAACTTCAAAGTTGTCCTGTAAAGGGAAACGTAAAATAAAGTGAAAAAGCTGACACTGAGCCAGCAGCCTTTTGTCTGAATTCCTCAGTTACTGTGAGAATAGAATGAAAATGTTCCCATGGCAATAACATGACTTGTAGCTGGGATTATGCTCTGCATTTCTTGGCAGTCTGCCTCATCTACTCTGCATAGAGAAATGCCCACAGAAAAAAGAGGGCACAAGTGTCAGCCTCTAGCAGCTAACAGTCACATGGGCAGATCTGCTATGGAAAACTACTGACTGAGGTCTATAGATGCACACACAGATATATATATATATGTTGCAGCCCCTGATACTATACACAGTTGGTTAAATAAATTTTTTGTCCCCCATAATGACAAACATCTTCCATTTGAGAATTATGGACACCACTGTGCTCTTGAGAACCTTTGGTACAGCAGAAATTTTTTGTAGCCTTCCCCAGATCTGTGCCTTGCAATAATCCTGTCTCTGAGCTCTGCAGGCAGTTCGTTTGACCTCATGGATTTTGCTTGGATACAGTATGCATTGTCAGCTGTGAGGCCTTTTATAGAGAGGTGTGTGCCTTTCCAGGTCATGTCCAATCAACCAATTTAATTTACCACAGGTGGACCACAATCAAAGTGTAGAAACATCTCAATAACAATCAAGAGAAATTGGAGGCACTTGAGCTAAATTCCAAGTGTTGTTGCAAAGGGACTAAATACTTATACCAATATGATATTTCAGGTTTTTCCGTTTTCATAAATTTGCAAACATTTCTAAAATTCTGTTTTCACTTTGTTGTTAAGGGGTACTGAGAGTAAATTAATGAGAAAAAAATAAAATTTAAAACAACCATAGTATCAGGCTGCAACATAACAAAATTGAAAAAAATGAAAGGGGTCTGAACACTTGATGAATGCTATATCTATCTATCGACTGTATGTATACACTGATCAGCCACACCTTTATGACCACCCACTTAATATTGAGTAGGTCCCACTTTAGCCACCAAAACAGCCCTTTTTTGCCATCAGAACCAGCCCTGACTCATTGAGGCATGGATTCCACTAGACCTCTAAAGATATACCATCAGTGGCAGATCCTTCAAGTCCTGTAAGTTGTGAGGTGAGGCCTCCATGGATTGAACATCTTTTCCCCACAGATACTCGATGGATTGAGATCCGGAGAATTTGGAGGTCAAATCAGCACCTCAAACTCATTGTATTTCTCAAACCATTCTTGAATTATTTTTACAATGTGGCAGGGAGCTTTATCCTGCTGAACAGGCCAATGCCATCAAGAGGTACTGTTTCCATGAAGTGTTGTACATGACCACAAACAATGTATAATGAAACAAAAATTTAAACTTAAGTGCCAGGTGTCCAAAAGCTGCCCCTTCATCAGGGCTTGATTGAAAACAATGTGACCAAAGCAGACGTGAACTGGACCTACAATGGTATTTTTTCCAGTGTGAATTTTGAGCATGGGCCTTATCAGCAGCTTGTCTGGCAGCCATATTGTCAATCAAGCCCTGGTGAAGGGGGTGCTCTTGGACCCCTGAAACGCATTGGCTACTTTTTGAATCGTACCCCTTGTTTTTATCGGAATAAAGTTGTATCTGGATCTCTTAGCAGTGGTGTGGTGCTTCAGTTTATTTTTTGTTATATTACACTACAAGCCAAAGAGACTGTGGCGATCATATGGGGTGTAGAAGCTGCCAGATCATTTATATCCACATCAGTACTTTAAGATATCAATACCAGTGAAATAATCCTATTGGTCCAGTTCTATTTTTCCACTTTCCTTAACTGTTTGAACCAACAGTGTTTAGGTATGTGGTACGTGTCAAGTAACACCCATACGAATTGCAGGACCCAAAATTTTCAGTTGAACATTGCTCAACGCATCTTACTTCGTCTGCCACTGTCCCTTCTTCCCATACTGCATCCTGGTGTCATCTTTTCCCCAGGTAAGTGACACACATTCACCCAGCCGTCCACATGAAGCAAAAGAACATGTGATGCGTCAGACCAGGCCACTGAATTCCATTGCTCCGTAGTCTAGTTCTGACGCTCACTTGCCCTTTGCAGGTGCTTTTGGCTATGGACACAGATCAGCATGGGCATCCTGACCAGTCTATGCAGCTCCATACACAACAAACTGCCCATTTCTGTTCTGCTTTCAGCACATCAACTTCAAGGGCAACATGGTTACTTGCTGCCTAATATATTGCAGATGCCATTGTAACAAGATAAGTAATAATAATCAATGTTATAATAATCAGTGGTCATAAAGTTATGGCTGAACGGTGCATATAGGTAAGAACAAAGCAGTGGTATCACTCTGAAACAATTAAAGCTGAAGTTCAGGAATTCAGCCATTTTGTAAAATGTGCAAGAATTGTATGAATTAAGTCCAACAAGGTGCATGCCACCACATGGACCTATCCCCTTTTATTTACATCTGACAGTTTTATAGCGATCTGGGAGGATAGCTATCATTACATTTTTGGAGCTCTGACGCTGGACCCTCTGGTCCCAGCTCTTTCAGCTGCAAAGTTGCATGCAGCTGCTGTGCCCGCTCTTCTCCTCCTTCTGCCCAATCACAGAGCGCTTTGTATTATGTGAACTATTTCACAAAATACAAAGGCTTCTGTGAATGGGCAGCAAAGAAGAGGGGCAGGCAGAGCTGCTGTGTGTGAGAAGACAGTGTCTATCCTCTCAGAACCTCAGAGTGTAGCAACAGCTATCCTCCCGGAGCTCCACAAACCTATTAAATGTAAATTAAAGAGATAAGTTAAAGAGGTGGCATGCACCTTGTTGGACTTAAGTCATGGTAAGCCAGCACAATTTATAAAGAAGCTGAATTCCTGAGTTTTTTTCTCAGGATGTCAGTGCTGTTAAGAGTATTAAAATATTGCTCCTCCTTTAATAGGAAATTATCAAGATTTGACTCAGAGAATTTATATGGTTACTGACTTTCCTGTGTAATCTTATTATTCTTTTTAGTAAGGCTACATTAATCCATGTAACATTGGTAAGGAAAAATTGAAATGTGGTATGATTATGTGCAAGCAGCTCTATCATCGATTTACACAAAGTCAGCACGTCCTAGAAACAGGGACACTAAAAAACATAGGAGTTGACATTTATGAACTTTCCAGTTGGGAAAATATACTTACATCTCTGCCACTGCATCTCCAACACCACAGAACTTTGCCAGCTCATCTATGCCTTCTTCCTTAATAACGTGCTATCCACATCAAAGCAGACTGCATCTGCCCTACGGAAGAGTTCTTTCAGCTGTGATAGGGAAGACATACTGTGGTGCACCCTGCTGAAATGAAAATATCAGGATAAGCATTAGAAAGAACTATATATTTGAATGTATTAAAAAAGTTATTTAAAACCAGAAAAAATATTACTGGTCATCTACATTAAGCGACCCAGAGGCTCCAAATTAAAGTCTAACTGAACTTTCGATTTGAAGTAGTTCTTTGCAAAACTTAGTTGATTAAAAGGGACTCTGTTAACACAGGGTCACTTGTAAACAAAGCCCACACTTTAAAAGCAAAGCATGTATAAAAGAAATGACATGCATATCACTACAGGATGCATGCGCTGGTGGGAGGAACCACAACATGCGACTGAGGACAGGTATTCGACATACAAAGAAGTGTTCAATACCTGCAGCTGAAGAGTTTAAAGACCTGCTGCTGGAAAAGCATGGGTGTTTATCAGTGACACTGCGGTAACAGTCATAAAACAATAAATGTATTCTAGGTGTATCAAAACAAAAAGGTGTGCAAAGTCTTAAAGTTCAATTTCTTTAGAGAGCAGCCACATCCTGCATAGAAAACTACAGTTAAGTCCATATATATTTGGACACAGGCACAATGGTCATACTTTTGTATGCCACCACAAAAAATTATAACAAAACAATCCAAATGAATTTGAAGTGCAGAATTTGAGCTTTGATTCAAGGAGTTGAACATAAATATCAAGTACAAATTTTAGGAACTGCAACCATTTTTATACACAGGCCCTCTATATTCAGAGGTTCATATAATTGGACAAATTAATATCATCATAAATAAAATGTTCATTTGTAATATTTTGCCGAGAATCCTTTACTGGCAATGTCTGTCTGGAGTCTGGAACCCATGGACATTACCAAAGACTGGGTTTCCTCCTTTCTGATGCTTTGCCAGGCTCTAACTGCAACTGTCTTCAGTTGTTCTGCCTTCAGCAAGTGAAATGCATGCTCAGTTGGGTTGAGATCAGGTAATTGACTTGGCCATTGCAGAATATTCCACTTCTTTTCCTTCTAAAGCTCCTGAATTGCTTTTGCAGTGTGTTTTGGATCATTGTCCATCTGTACTGTGAAGCGCCATCCAATTAACTTTGCTGCATTTGGCTGAATCTGGGCTGACAGTATATCTCTAAACACTGCAGAATTCATCCGGCTGCTTCTGTCTTCTGTCACATCATCCATAAACACCAATGAGCCAGTGCATCATCCATAAACATCAATGAGCCAGTGCCACTGGAAGCCATGCATGCCCATGCCACCACACTGCCTCCACCATGTTCTACAGAGGATGTGTGTGCTTTGTATTATGAGCTGTTCCAAGCCTTCTCCACACTTTTTTCTTCCCATCATTCTGGTACAGATTAATCTCAGTTTCATCCGTCCAAAGAATGCTTTTCCAGAACTGGTTTGGCTTTTTAGATGTTTTTTGGCAAAGTCTAAACTGGCTTTTCTATTCTTCAAGCCTATGAATGGTTTGCACCTTGTGGTGAACCCTCTGTATTTGCTCTCATCAAGTCCTCTCTTTATTGTAGACTTTGACAATGATACGCCCACCTCCTGGAGAGTGTCCTTCACTTGTCTGGATGTTGTGAATGGGTTTTCTTTACCATAGAGAGGATCCTGTGATCATCCACCACTGTTGTCTTCCGTGGATGTCCATGCCTTTTTTTATGTAAACTAACCAGTGCGTTCTTCTTTCCTCAGAATGTACCAAACTGTTGATTTGGTCACTCCTAATGTTGCTGCTATCTCTCTGATGGATTTGCTTCATTTTTGAAGCCTTACAATGGCCTGTTTCGCTTGCATGGACAGCTCCTTTGAACGCATGATGTGGGTTCACAACAATATGCAAATACTACACTTAGAATCAACTCCAGACCTTTTACCTGGTTAACTGATGAAGAAATAATGAATAAGTAGCCCTCACCTGGCCATGAAACAGCTTTCGATTCAATTGTCCAATTACTTCTGGTCCCTTGAAAAAGGGCGGATGGCTACTCTTAAGAGTTGTAATTCCTAAACCCTTCCTCCAATTTGGATGTACATACCCTCAAATTAAACCCAAGAGTGTGCACTTTCATCCCATATCCATTATATAACTATAGCTTGAATATGTTTTGGTAAATACCTGGAAAATCTAAAATTGTGCCTGTGTCCAAATATTTATAGACCTAACTGTATATCCTCTACCAGCATGACTCTTACTCTTTTTGCAAAAGCAATGGTCTCTCTACAGAGGTCCAACATGTCCCCTGAGTCTGAGCTAGAGCTCTCAAAACAGCAGGGAACACAAGCTTTGGTTTTCTGCACAGGCTGTGGCTACTTTCTAATGAAAATAAACTGTAAGGTTTTATACATTTTGGGCTTTATTGGCTAAACCTGGATAGAGTAAAATTTGGTGCAGCTCTGCATAGAAGCCAATTAGCTTCAAGTTTTTTTTTTTCCGTCAAAGCTTAATTGAACAAGCTGAAATTAGGAGCTGAGTGGCTACTATGCACAGCTGCACCAGATTTAGCACTCTCTAGTTTTAGTAAATAAACTTCTATTTGTTTTGGTACACTTGAAATGCTGAACCAAAAGTTTGGAAGGGTTTTAAAGGATTACAGTTTGAAACAAAATGGTAGTGGATAAACACAATAGTGTTAACAATGGGTGGGGGGAGGGGGTTGTTCTACAGGAGACTACAGAAGTTGGCCATAACCATTCATGGCAGGATGTGTGGGTGTAACATAACCCTTTTGCTGCAAGGGTCGTTTTTGCACACGTTTAGAAAATAATTTTAGACCTGAAGATTACACAGAACCCTCAAACATTACATATTTTCTGAAAGCAGACACCCTAGAGAACAAAATAGTGGAAGTTTCAATTTTTTATGTCACGCGATATTATTGCAAAGGTCTAGGAAATGCAAAATTTCAGTACAAATTGCACTAAAGTGAATTTTAGGGCAAACACAATAAGTTACCCAAATTTATGGTAAAATATAAAAGATAAGGTTGCACCTAGGAAATAGATACCCAACATGCCAAACCTTAATTTTGTGAGTGCCTATGAAATGGCAACAAAATTCTGTACCCTATGTTTTATATAGGTGACGTTCTATAGGTCATCAGTTTAGAGTTACAGAGGTCCAGTGCTAGAATTATTGCTCTCACTCTGGTCTGCGTGTGGCGATATGAAACGTGTATAGCAATCAACGTTTTCACGTGTAGGCTCCCTGATGTGTGCGCTTATGCTTGTATATTTGGAGTGGGGCCTCAAAAAAAATTTTTTTTGGGGGGGGGGGGGTATTACGTGTTTGGGTGTAACTATTTTTTTACAAAAAAATGTTTGTCTTAACTTTTTTCTTTTCATCACATAGGGGACACAAAGATGATTGTTTGGTGACAGGTTCTCTTTATTGAGACACGCTGGGTCTAAAAAACCCTGCATATCTCCTCTGTGATCCATTAGATGTATTGCAATGCAAACCACATTGCAATACATCTTTCCCCAGCTATTCTAGCCAGGAAAGTGACATCCGTGACACGGAAGTGACATCATGGATGTCGCCTTCCAGGTCATGAAAAGAAGGGGGGGAGGGGAGCTCGTCCGCTCTCCTCTCTCCCCTGCACAGGCCATGGTGCTCCCCAAGCCTGCAGATGGGCAAGTGGAGCCTGGTTACATGGCGGGAGCATGACCGTGGGGGAGGGCATTGGAACCAGGGGGCTGTGGAAGCAGTTGGTGGCAGCGGAGCCACCCAATTCCTCTCAGCTGACCGGCAGGAGTCTGCCTGTCAGATTTGTACACAATCCTGGTGGCTGTATAAAATCCCCTGCTTTCAGGTCTGTACAGCGTATAGACTTGGGAGCGAAAGGGTTAAAGTGGTAAACCTCAGACATGAAATATGAAAAAAGCATATCCTCCTATAGTGTGTACTTTTTCAGTTAAGATCAATAAGTTTTTGTCTGCTGCTTCATTCCTCTATCAGCATTAGTCACTTCTCACAAGTTTTACAGACACCAGGAAACAAATGGTGACAGGGGAGGGACCTCCAGCAGACTGACAGCGTCAGCTCTGTTCCTGTGTGCTGTGTGGAGGGGGGTGTGTCCCTTCTCTCCAATCAGTTGTCAGAGCTCCCTCACCGAGCTCTGCAGTGTGTAACTTCATCTCTCCGCTCAGACAAGCTGCATAAATTCTACACTCTGACTGAGGCCAGTCACTTTACTGGATATATGTTAGAGTTTACAACCACTTTAACATCTGAAAAACATTTACCCTTAGATCTCCTGTGAGTGTATATGTGTTTATGGAGTAGCTAGGGAAACAGTTACTGACATTGTGACACTGGCCTAATTCTAGGGGAAACAGGTAGCTGAACATATCCAACTTGTCCAATCATCGGAAATGGGTCAACTGGGGGTGTCTGCTATCAGCTAGGGACATGACGAGCATAATCATCTCGATTTTATATCTGTACCTATCATTAGGACCCACACTTCATATTTTAGAACTTGTAGTATAAAACCATCGTTAAAACCTATTTTTATCTTGTCATGCTTTTTTTATTAGTTTCAATAAACACTAAAAGTTGCCATCCACACTAAACAAACATATCACACTTCATGGAATTCTAGAAGACAGTTTCCTCAAGTCATCCAGTTGGCAGTAACAACTTTAACTTGACAAACCAGACATGTAGACTCAATGTAACTTTAGGCCAAGCTTTTATTAGTTTTGCATACAGAGGGGAAGGGTTAGACCCTTTGTCAAGTTTTTATTGCTGTGTCCCCATTGGGCAGATTCACCACTCTGTACTGGTGACCGCTGTCAACAAGTGAGGGATAATGCCAAATTTTACAGGTGTTCCAAGAACAAGATGTAGGGGGAACAAATGTCTAAGAGGGGAATTCCTCTCACTTTAGGAGATATTTGCCAATTTCTTGTTGCATCTCTAAAACATAAAAGTGAAGGGAAATTTTCCCAATTGTACACAGACATTAAAAAAAAAAAAAAAACCCAAGAAGACGTTTTAACCCTTTACGATTGTAT